AAGCCAGCAGGTCATTTATCTCTTGAGGGGTCCCAGACTGCGAGAGGGCACAGGCCGGGCTGAGGGACCCCCCTCCACCCCCCCCCCCCAGTGCACAAATTTTTGTGCACCGGGCCTCTAGTTTATTATAAAGAGAAAAATAGTAGTTTTACAGTGGAGAAAGTTGGCAGGCACCATATAAACATTTTTAAAAAATAAAATCTATTCCAATTCCAGGGTCTATTTTATACGTAGAGCACAGCTCAACCTGCACTAGCGACATTTCAGTGCTGAGCTCCATGTGGCCTGTGGAGCAGGTTAAACAACTTGGCTCTAAATGGACCCTGCTGTCTACACTTCTCATCACGTGCAATGATAAATGTTGTTATAAGGCACTTTTATTTCATGTGATTTACATGTAACAGAATGCATCTGAGTGATCCACTCACATACCCACAAGGAAACCACACACGCACACAATCACTCACGTTCTGTGGTGGGAGAATAGTGGCCCGAGCGCCCAGCCCGAACCCTGGAACCGTGAATCTCTTATGTGACCTGGCAAAAGGCCCTCGCAGAGGTAACTGAGCTTTATAGATGTGAAAAGAGAGAGGTTGTCCTGGATTATCCCCATGAACCCTGTCTAAACACCAAGTCCTTAAAAGGAGAGAACTTTCTCCAGCTGGAGGCAGAAGAGAAATGTGGCAGAAGGAGCAGTCAGAGGGATTCCAGGCGCAAGAAGGATGTGACCCGTGGCTGCAGGCTCTGAGATGTAGGTCCGTGTGCGAGGACCAGTGAGAGGCTGGCAGGAGCTGCGGACAGACAGATGCTTTCTGCCAGCGGGAACGGGAACCTCAGTGTTACCACTGCAGGGAAGAGAATTCTGCCAACAGCTTGACTGAGCTTGGAGGTGGACCCTTCCTCCCAAGGCCTCCCTAGCAGAATCCCAGCAGCCACACTTGGACTTCAGCCTGTGAGACCCCTGGCGGAGAAAGAGGCTGGCCACCCAGAGCTCTCATCTATGGAGCTGTGAGATACTAAACTTGTGTGGTCTGAAGACGCTAAGTTTGGGAAACCTTGTTATGGCGGCGAGAGAAAACTAATCCGCACAGTCATACACACAGCCCCACAGCACAGGAAACATCGTTTTCTTATCATTTATGAACAATTCTTACAAAAAGTAGAAAAATAAATATTTACAGATCTGAGTTTGACAATTCACACACATAAATACATAAATAGTGGTTGGGTGGCAATAAATTAAGAAAAGTGGGGGATACATAAATAAAACCCAAGATGCTGGGACAGGAGGCAGGTGGGCCTGAGGGTCACACACACAGGTCTCCATCAGCGACACATCTCAGGTCACGGACGAGGAGGCGGAAGAGGTTGGATGCGACAGAGGCTTCAAGGCAGCCACGGGATTCCTGTGGAGAGGAAAGGACAGGTCAGTGGCTGTTCATCATCTGGGCCCCAAGTTGTCCCCAGACACTGGTCCCTCCCCAGTTACTCACCTTCGTCTCAGCGTCCTGGAGGCGGTGCAGCCATTGGCGGAGGCGGCCCCGGGGCCTGGGGCCTGCTGTGGACTGAGCTGGGACCTGTGGGCAAAGGAGGGTGGTGAGTGAACAGGGTCTCAGACACACGGGGACAGACAGGTGGTCAGAGCCCACAGACGTGGCCTGGGAGCCCAGAGCACTCACACAGGCCTGAAGCTTGGAGTGGATGTGGCGCAGCGTGCGAAGGGGCTGGTCCAGGATGTCCCCCAGGGTCGAGTTAGCCACGGGCCCCAGGACCTTCAGTGTCAGGGCCAGCTCAGCCTCCAAGGCCACAGGGCGCTCCCACACCTGAGCAGGGGAGACAGACAGGTGAGAGAGAACAGGTGAGGAGGGCTGAGGAACGAACAGGTGAGGGCAGGAGACAGGAGAGAGGGAAGGTCAATGTGAGCAGGGGAGGAGGAGAGGTCAGGGGGACTGCTGGGGAGGGCAAAGACACAGAGAAAAGTGAGAAGGAGAAGGTGAAGGGGCCACCTAAGAAGCCAGAGGAGCGGGGCCAGGTGAGGGCAGGGCTGGGCCTGAGTCTCCCAACTCACCTGCAGCTGCCTCAGGTCCCGGGTCCTGGGGAGTGGGCGGGAGCTGCAGCTCCGGTTCCTCAGCAGGAGGGACTCTTCCTGGAGAGCAAAGGCAGAGGTCAGCCCACAGCTGGAGAGCTGGAGGTTGACCCCTGCAGTGGGGCTGGAGGATGGCTAGCAACAGGAGCAGGGGGCTAACATCCTAAAGGATGGGAGAGACATCTCCAGTGCAGAAGAACAAGAGTCAGCCCCCAAAGCAAGAGCAGGAGGTAGGCCATGTGCGAAGGGTGGAGGTTAGCCCAGGGAAGGAAGGGTACAGGTCCACCTTGAGCCAAATGGGCCTGTGACCCCCAGAGGGAAGGGTGGAGGGTAGCCCACAGCATGGGGATGGGGGGGAGGCAGGGAGAGGGAGGAAGACTCACCAAGGCGGCCTTGGCCCTCCTGAAGGCCTTCATCTCTTGTGGGGGCAGAGACTTGAACTGGGCCATGTCGCAGCCCCTTGCACCCAGGAGGGTCGCGAGGGGCGTGGTGACGGGAACTGCTCCTGTGCTGGTCAGCACCGTGGTCATCAGCATCAGCACCAGTGCTTCTACACTCCAGCCAAGCCTGTGTTAGGGAAGGATGGGCAGATGAGGGGACAGAGTGTCAGGGGCTGTGGGTGGGGGCTGTGGCGAGTGAGGGTCATGGACAATGATGTGGAGGCTCACCCAGCTTCATCCTGGTCTGTTCTCTGGTCTCTGGTCTCTATTCCAAGTGGGGATCCAAGTGTCCTCTCAGAGGCTGTCACGTGGGTCTCACTCAGCCTTGTTTGGTGTCTCTGGCCTCAGTCTTGTTTTCTGGGTCTCAGCCTGCTGCTCGGTCTGTGTCCTCGAACTTCCAGCTAGGCAGCGATGCAATACCTCACCAAGCTCCATGGTGCAGCTTTTAGCCAGCGCAGGCGGGCAATCCCAGCTGATGTAGGAAAAATCCCTTTTTTCTCCTGCCACTAGGGGAGGCCCGAGGCTGGGGAAGCCCGGGCAGGGCGGGGCATTGAGCCAGGTGAGCAGCTGGAGTGGAAACAGAAAGTGACACACACTCAGGCTCACTTACAGGAGGTGAGGTCCCAAGAGGAATCTCAGGATAAGGGCAGCCTCAGCCCCACAAAGAGGGGTTGCCTTTCTGCAGGACACCCCCGTGCAGGGAGAGGAGGAGGAAAGCACCTCCAGGGCTGTTGCCACTTCTGAGAAGGAGGCTGTCAAGGGAGGAGAGAAGACAAAGGGAGAAGGCTGGGGGGGGGTGGGGGGGGGTGGAGGCCGGGGGATGGGTTGGGGCGCGAAAGGGTGTATGGGAGAGTGGGCAACATAAAACAGCCCAGAGTTAAGAGGTCAGCTCTTCCCTCCCTTCCCCACCAGGGGCTGTGAATGAAGGGGAGGAGAGGAGCTTGACAAGCAAACATCTTTAATTGTCCAGACACAGAGGGACCCAGGGATTGGAGTCTCTGCTAGGGAATCCGGGTGTAGCCAAGGGCTTCAAGGGATCCTGTCAGTGTGACAAATGCCTTCATTCATTCATCAAGTATTACTCAGCCTCTACTTTGTTTCAGGCACTGCTCAAGGTGCCAGGAACAGAGCATTTAAAAGACATCCCATAAAACAACACTTGTCGGAGCTTTTTAAAAAACAACAACTTTATTGATCTTTAGAGAGGGAGAGGGAGAGAGAGAGAGAGGGAGGGAGAGAGAGAGAGAGAGAGAGAGAGAGAGAGAGAGAGAGAGAGAGAGACATCAATGTGAAAGTGAAACATTGATCAGTGGCTTCCTTCACGTGTCCCGACTGGGTAGAGAACCCAAAACCTGGGCATGTCCTCTAACCAGGAATTGAACCAGTGACCTTTCACAGGGGAGGACGCTCCAACCCCTGAGTCACACCAGCCAGGGCTCATGGACCTTTTTATTAGAGGAGAGTAGGGGAGGGGTAACCACTCAGTGTATATTACATTAGGTAACAGAAAATGAAAGCACAAAAGTGAGGTGACAGCAGAGTGTAGGAGGGGGCTGCACTGAACGAGGCCAGAAAAGTCACATTTGAGCAAAAACATAAAGTGAGAAGTGAGGGAGTGAGCTATGTCAAGATCTGAAAGGAAAAAAAGACACCCCCTACCCATGATCTGGGAGTACTTTATGCCTCACTCCATCACGGAGGCTTTGCCACAATGTAGTATTGAACCCATGATAACATCAGGGGCACAGTGTAGTTTGCCTACATCTATATATACTAGAGGCCTGGTACACAAATTTGTGCATGAGTGCGGTCCAGCCAGCCCGCCCTGATTGGGGTGGTGGCGGCCAATCTGAGTCAGGGCTGGCCAGGGGGAGGAGCCGTGGGCAGTTGGCCAGCCCTGCTTCCCGGTCGAACACCCTGTGGAACTCTAGGTCGAGGGGAGGATTTGCATATTAAGCTTTTATTATCTCTCTATATAAAGAGCCAGGGGCTGTCACATCTGAAAAAACCACAAGGACGACCAAACAGACTGAGTGCGGTGCCAAGACCAGCAGGGGTGTTAGTGAGGGACGACCAAACGACTGAGCAGCAGGCTGCGTGGGGCAACCAGGCCAGCATGGGGGTTAGTGAGGGATGACCAAACGACTGAAGAAGCAAGCTGTGTGGGGCGACCAGGGTAGCAGGGGGGACAGTGAGGGGAGACCATGCTGGCAGCGGGTGAGGCAGTTAGGGGTGACCAGGCCAGCAGGGGTGGGGGCAGTTGGGGGTGATCAGGTCAGCAGGCAGAAATGGTTAGGGGTAATTAGGCTGGCAGGGGAGCCAGTTAGGGGTGATCAGGCAGGCAGGCAGGTGAGCAGTTAGGAGCCAGCGGTCCCGGATTGTGAGCGGGATGTCTGACTGCCGGTTTAGGCTCGATGGCAGTCAGACATCCCCCAAGGGCTCCTGGATTAGAGAGGGTACAGGCTGAGCTGAGGGGACCCCCTGCCCCCATGCACGAATTTCATGCACCGGGCCTCTAGTATAGGATAAAAGCCTAAGCAACCATTATGACTGAACCACCAGAATGATCACAATGACCAGTCGACCAGTCGCTATGATGCGCACTAACCACCAGGGGGCAGACGCTCAATGCAGGAGCTGCCTCCTGGTGGTTAGTACTCTCCCACAGCCGACCTCCCAGGACTGACCAACCTCCCCTGGTACCACCCCATGGCTGGCAGGCCCCTATAGGGACTGGGCAAGATGGCCCTGTTCAGTCCTGATCCCTGGCCAGGCCTAGGGATCCCACCATGCACAAATTCATGCACCAGGCATCTATTTTTAAATATAAGTAACATTGATAGAGTGAGCGAGAAGCTTAGTGTTGTGACGTATTTTAAAAACAGTCTCCAGCCCAGCCTGTGTGGTCAGTGGTTGAATGTCCACCAATTAACCAGGAGGTCAGGGTTGGATCCCTGATCAGGGCACATACCCAGATTGTGTGCTCAGTCCCCAGTAGGGGGTGTGCAGGAGGCAGCTGGTCAATGATTCTCTCTCACCACTGATGCTTCTATCTTTCTCCCTCTCCCTTCCTCTCTCAAATCAATTAAAAATATTTTATTTTTATTTTATATACTAATATATTTGTATTGATTTCAGAGAGGGGGATAGAGATAGAAACATTGATGAAAGAGAATCATTGATTGGCTGCCTCCTGCATTCCCCCAACTGGTGATCCAGCCCCCAATCTGGGCATGTAATTTGCATAAGGATACGCTGATTAGCCAATGGGAAGGGTAGCGGTCGTACGCCAATTACCATTTTTCTCTTTTATTAGTGTATATATATATATATATATATATATATATATATATATATTTTTTTTTTAAGAGCATGGACCATGGAGCTGAAGGATCTGGGATTCAAACCTGGCTCTACCCTCACCTGCTGTGTGACCTTGACAAGGAGCCCTGCAGTTGGCAGCAAAGCTCTCCAGCCCACAGGCTTGGACAAATAAAGAAGTGCAATCACTTGTGTATAGAGGTGTGTGTGGTTATTTGATAGAGACCATCCTATGGCCTCCACTGGAAGCTGAATAAATGCTACGTCAACGTACACGACTCGTCCGCAAAGGAAGGATGATAATGCCACGGTGTGGTGAGGAAACCGAGGCCGCAGAGAAGTGATTGCCCAGTCACACGTGGTTAAGAGGCGGGGTCAGAGTGCACTCACGTCACCTGATTGCCCTGGCTGAGCATTTTTAACTGAAAGTGCCGCTCAGAGTGATCACAGGGGAACGACCAGTGCAAATGCAAGAATATTTAATAATGAAAGACAGAGTAGCCCGCTACTCGGGGATTTCACAAATACAAAAGACACAAGGGTGACAGAATCCAAAATTCTGCAGTAACCTAAGGACTTCGGGCTCTGTCACTGCCTGATCCCTGAGGGAGGAGGCCTCTCCAGTGGAGAGATGCAGGAGTCACAGATTCATAGAATCTCATAGGAGACACTGAAGGCTCAAACCAGGGCGTGGGAACTGTCATGGAGACTCGGTTCTGGGCTGCTGGTACCCAGAGAAGTAGAGCCTCGCCCGTGGTACGTGGGGTCAGCGTCCCCCGTGGACCCAGGACTCAAGTCTCTTCCTGCCACACAAGGCCCCTGGCGGGGCTTCGGGCAATGCATTCCACAGACATGTCCCTGCTCCCAGGGGACGCGTTGTCCTCTCGGGAAATGTACCCGCACTTCACGGTGCGCTCAGCGCAGGCCATCGAGGTGAGGCCAGCGGCGGCGGTGGCAGAGTCTCCTGAGCGCGGGCGCCCACTGGCTGGAGACCTGCCTGGACCAGAGGGCAGCACAGAGCCCCGACCTAAGCCGCCCGCCTGCAGAGCCGCGGGTCCCGCCTCGCAGTCGGGTCAGAGACAAGGCCCTGAGAGCGCCGCCAGCTTCAGGTCCCACGTGAGCAGGCGCAGGAGGTTGAAGATGATGGTGGCTTCATGGCACCGAGGCGAGTCCTGGAACCGGGGAAGGAAGCGAAGCGGGGCTGAGGCAGCGATTTCCTCATTGAGGGACCCTGGGCTCCTGGCCGCTCCACCACACGCGACCACCCCCCCCACCCGACCCCTCCCCCCCCCGCACCCAGCCCCAGCCCTGCGGGCTACCCGCTCCGCACCCGCGCCGCTCACAGTCTCCGCCTTTGGGGAGGCCTCCTGGGGGCCGCGGGACTTCCTTGAGGAACTTGGCCGGACCAGCTGAGCTGGAGGGGGGGACAGAAGGGAAAACCAAGGGAGGCGAAGGGGACCCAGTCTTCCCACCAATTCAGCCCACGGGGCCTCCCCAGCCCAGCCCCTGCGGGACACCAGCGGGGAACGCGAATTTGTGGTCTGGACGGGCTTGGGGCTCCCGCAGAGACAAAATGGGGACCCCGGGCGAACCTAACCTGAAGGGCCCGAAAAACCCCAAAACAAGGCCGGGGCCGGGGGTGCAAGCGGCCGGGGGGCGGGGGGCCCTTCAGCAGGGCCAACCAAGTCCCTTTCTTCCGGGACCGCCCAGCAAGCTCCAGGGTTTGGGGCGAACCCCGGGAAAAAAAACTCGGGG